CAATCACTAGATCGACCAATCCATACCTATTAGAGAGAGAAAAACCCACGAGAGGAGAGAGAAATTGAAGATTAAACCATCACGACCCGAGCCGAAAAAGATACCCGATCGTTTCTCTCAACTCCGGTCACCAACACAAGATCCATCACCACGGACATGATCTCCCATCTCCTCCGAGTAATTCCATTTAAACATCTCGATCCAACGACACCGAAAAATGGTTTAATTGAGGTCAACCCGTTTTCTACCCGTTTTGGCAAACCCGGAAAAATTGACCGATCTAGCCCAAATTAGAGGTTCTAACCACCACATAACTTCTTCTCTCAACTCTGAAGAGTCGATCGGTGTGCTTGGAATCCCGAGAAGAGGTCGGATTCATCGTCGGTGAAGAAGAGAGATCCGACCGAACCTTTGGAGGCTTCGATCTCCCTCCTCCGGCGTCTTCTTCGATCGATAACACCACCATTGGACTCGCAACGATCTGATCTACAAGGCTGGGTGGTCCACGCGCCCGAACGATCACCGAAAGGCGACCGGTCACTTGGCGGTGACTCTTGGCATTCCAAGGGCATTTTGGTAATTTTACAATATAGGTGAATTTTGTATTGTTTGATTTATTTTATATGTTTTGTAGCTTTGTTTTTATTATTTTACATATGTATGTTAGAAAATTTGAAGATACATAGTTGTGAAATTTATTTTAACATGAAATTTTTTTTATGATTAAAATATTGTATCAACGAGTCTCCTATTTATTAGGGACGGACGATGATTTCAATATATTTAATTTTTTTGAAACTTGTTTCATTTGATTTTAGTTAATTAAAATTTTAAAGTTTTCTTTAAAAATAAAAAAAATAAAATATATTTTTTTTTCTCGACGAAGTCTCCTATCTAATAGGGACCGACGTCACCAAGAATCTAAAATTCTCAACGAAGTCTCCTATCCGATTAGGATCGACGTCACCAAAAAAAAAATTATTTTTTAAATCAAAATATCCTCCGACACACCGGTTGTGTTAAGGTTTAAAGTGGATCCGATGTTTGAATCAACGTGTCACCCGACGAAGGGGACCGACGATCGTTTCAATACGATGCCACGCTCAAAACTAAAAAAATTCAATTTATCTATAAAAAAAATGAAAGATTAAGAGTCGGGAAATAATTTGAAGTAAATAAAATGTTTTAGGAGATAAATTTAGAGCTAAACCAAACGTGGTACCTTTTTTCGAAAAGGGCGCTTTTGGATGATCGATATCTTCCCAAAAGCGTAACCAACTCCTTATCATAGAATCTCCGAACCGAGTGTCCGTTTTAGATCCCTAGTTCCTTCAATACTAGGTGGCGACTCCAAACTCTGTAAATAAACTTGTAAATATTCAATCTAATTTTAGATATTTTTCGAGGAGTCCCGTTCGACGTCGGGTAGCAACGGTGACAAATAGTAACGAGGGAGATCAGCCATAGCTGGTTGTCGGATAATTAATATATTGGAACTTCAATATCAGCTCCAGTGTGCCTAATGCTCATGTGTTCAATTGTCAATCAGCCTGTTTTGTACAAACAAATAATCAAGAGATCACATTAATGCCAATTGAATTATAATTCATTATCAAATAATGAAGTTGTTAAGAACAACTTTTTTTTTAATCATTGTGGAAAAAGCACCAACCACTTGCTTCTGTCTTGATAAGCTTTCTTGACAGCACAAACATTGTAGATATTTGTAGAAAGTTCCCTAATATTTCATTGATTAAAATAATTTAAATACAGCAAAAACTTAGTCAAATTTCTAAAAATATGATTGATCATGATCCATAAACAAAACTACCACTAAACTGAACAGAAAATGCACAAAAACATGCAGCAACATGCTACCACTAATCCTAGAAAATAGGTCCTAGTGGAAGAACAAGTCTTCAACAGTTTGTGTCTTAAAATCAGCACCATGCTTGCTGACATGTCAAAGCTTACTTGGCATTACAACAAGACTTAATCAGTGCAGCTGTAACATACCAGATTCCTTGTAGCTTCAGAGGCATATCTCGAACACTCCTCCTTGCTTTTGATGCTGCAAGCTCCCAATTTATCTCTCAGCATCTCAAACTTGGCTTTAGGCAAATCTTTTGTAAAAATATCAAAAGCTTGTTCCTAAGTCCTGCAATATACTAAGGAAACCTCACCTTCTTTCTGAATTTTCCTTAGAAAATAAAATTTAATCTTGAAATGCTTTGTCTTCCCATGAAACACTGGATTTGAGGAGATCGATATGGCTGCTTGATTATCAACAAAAATCTGAGTTGGTTCTTGCTGCACTAGATTCAGATCCTGTAAAATTTTTCTTAGCCATATTGCATGGTTTGCCACTGTAGTTGCAGCAGCAAACTCAACTTCTGCAGTGCTTTGAGCAATGATTTTTTTCTTTTTGGAAAACTAATTTAATTATCACACCTGAACCAAAATTGAAGCAGAAACCGGTAGTACTCTTCATATCATCAACTGAACCTGTCCAATCACTACCAGAAAAGCTTGTTAACTTAAAATTTTGATAGCTTACATACTTAACACCATAGTCAATAGTTCCTTTGATTTATCTCATAATACGTTTAGCAACTTGCATGTGTTCCTCACTTGCACAATGCATAAACCTGGATAAAAGACCTACAACCTGTAAAATATCAGGTTTGGAGGCAGTGAGGTACATGAGGCATCTGATCAAGATGATCTGATGTCACAGAATTCAGTACTTTGATATGCTCTGGAGTGAAGGGCTCCATCTAAATTATTGGCCTTACAGATTGTTTAGCTATTTCAAGCATAATGAGGGCTGTTAAGCTGTTTAATTGGGTATAAATGCGTGTTATATGTTTCATGTTAGGCATGTTTTTTGTGTTAGGCACCATAATTGGTAGTTAGACGGTTAAAAGATTAGCGTTAATAATTAGTAGTTACCGAAAACGGGATTAATTTCTCATGATATGTAGACATTGAGATACATAGCGTTCATGATGCAGACTAAATTGTCAACGGGACATTTCAAACATATGAAACAGTCAATTGTATGATAGAGCAGTATGTCTGTCCTGCTCAAGGAGTATAGGAAGTTATGCTCTATTTTCAGCTTTTCCTCGAATAATATTTTATTGTATGGACTTAAAATATCGGAACTTCCACTTCTCATTGTCTGCTTTGACCTGTCCTCATTTCCTCCTCGTTATATCAACTTCTATTGCTTCAATTCTTTTATGATCCATTGCAGAATTTCGTTAGTTTTTTCTTTCTTCAATGTTTTGCTCTCAATTTTTCTTTTCCTGCAATTTGGTTCAGGTTCATAGCTAGGGCAGGGCAGTGCTGCCTCCTCAATTACTGCTGTGTGATCTTCTGTTTCCCTTTTCTGTGCTCTTCCATGTAGGTGCTCCCACAATCACAATTGTTTCCTCATGTGTTTCCTTTTCTATTCCTCAAAATGGCCACAATTTGCAGATGATTTGGCTAATGAATAATGACAGTGCAAAGCACAAACAGTAATAGAAGCAATAGTATCAATATAGAAATGTAAAGAAAAGAAAATTTCAGAAAGACCACCGAAAGGTCATAGAGCATACCAAAAACAGGATTGAATCCTTTTTTTCTTTTTTTTCGAGCAGCTAGCTTCTTGCATGGCAGGCCTATTTAGATTTTAGATAATTTTGATACTTTTGTTTTTTGGTTGTGAATGTTCATCAAACAGCCTTTTGAAATCTTTCTGCTAGTGTCATCTAAAAGGAATTGCATTGCAATCTGTTTTGATCATTTTCTGTCTTCTTATTGCATTGCAGAGTAGCAAATCATCACTCTTCTCCTGCAATTTGATTTGGTTCAGTTTTGTTAATCTATCAGGTATAAGCATCCATCTAAGTTCTCTTGTTATCTAGCTATTTTCTCAGCAGTTATCTAATTTTTCAGGTAATATATATATATATATATAAGGAGAATTTTTCATCTAAGAAAATTTAAGCACTATGATTTCACAGCATACTTTCGGAATCTTAAGATTTATATGAGAAGCGAAAGGAAGGGAAAGAAAAAAAAAGGAAAGGACTGCCCATGTTTTGCAATGATAGAAGTTTTCTGAATCTTCGGCATGGGAGGTGTTGGAAAGAAAAGGTAACTAACCTCTTGTTTATCAGGCCACTCATCTAACAATTTTCTATTTTTATGTATGATGAAATTGAAGTGATGATTTTTTTTTTTTTTTTTAGCACTGTCTTGTGCATGCTATAAATAGGGTTTTGGAGATTTTTTTTTCAATTACATGATATATACTACCAAGCCCAATTTCGAATAAATTATAAATTAGTCCCTCTCGTTTTGAAAGATAATCATTTAGCTTTTTATATTTTAATTCCGTAAATGATTTTATTCTTTTCATTAGTTTTTCATTAGATTAGTGATTTTTTTTCTTCAAATTGCTCTTTTTTTAATACCTTATTTCTCTCATTTACCCACTCACTTTCTCTTTCCTCAAAAAAAAAAAAAAAAAATTTAAGAAACTGATGAAATAATTAAGTTAGTGATAAAATTATGTAAAGAACTAAATGATTAGTTTTTGAAAAAAAAATGAGACTAATTAATTCGTTTTTCTAAAGCTGAGAGAGACTAATTTAAGAGAAATTTTATAATACACAAAGAGTAACTAGTGGCATGTATAGTAGTTACTCCTTGTATCCACTTTGAGGAGAGAGATAGACACATAAAAAAATAGAGAAATTACATCTATACCCATCAAAAGTGATAAGAAGATTTTCACATCTCGCTCAAATTTTTTTATTTTCTCTCTCCTATATTTTCTTTCTCTTTTTGTGTATCTATCTCTCTCCTCAAAATAGACCCAAGGAGTATTCAACCAATTTTATGATGATCTGCTCTTATTGTCAATTGATGGTAGCAAGTTTGACATCAGAAATACAACAACAACTTCATGACGACCCTCAGTTAAGAGAGCAGAAAAAAAGCTGAACTTAAGATGAAGAGAGCAGGAAGGCTGCACTGCCTAAGCTTACACGCCATCTCAGTCCTCCAGAAATCTTAGGGGTAAAGAAGTTGACGACATTAACTATCAAAATTTCAATTGTGATTGCTAACTGGAAGTCTGGAACACATCGGTGAAAGCACCACAGTATCTTGATGGAGCCATATCTGAGAGGTAACTGGCACAGACTGCAATTAAAACAAATAACACAAAGTTCTGAGATAACAAATGATTAGCTTGTGTGTATTACATGATCATAAAAAAAAAACTTAGATGCATGCAGACAATTAAATACTAGGATCAGCTTACCTGAGTGGAAAAACCAACACCTAATAACATGCGACCAGCAATAAGGACTAAGATATCAAGAGCAACAGCTTGATAATAACTCCAATGAGAAAGATGAAGCCATCAAGGATCATTGATATTTTTCGACTGCACTTCGTAATGACATGAGAAGCAACAAGAGATGTAGCCAATACAGCCAAGTATAACGGAGACATGAAAATGGTAAACCGTGTATCATGGAACTTGCAGTATTAGTTGGTGGATGCATATGATGCCTCCTCTCAATCACCTGATGGGAAACATTTTTCAAAAAGAGAGCCATGATGAGACACCACCGGAGATACCGATGCCATATCTGAAAATTAGCCACCATGGCTCCAAGAATACAAGCAATTATCGCATCCCAACTGACCTTTTCTGGATAATTTTTAACATCACTAGTAACAAAACCACCACCAGCCATAATGCTTAAAATTAGCTTTTAAGTTATAAGCAATTATCAATGGGATATTAACTGAAGTAAGCATATGATGAAAATAGAATCTCATGCAAAAGAAAAAATAGTTGATTGGGTTCATGATCATACCTGTGATGACTCATTTTTACGCCCAGGATGAAGAATCTGGCAGCAGGTAGCCGCTGCTAGAGATAGAGAAGAAAATCAGGGGAAATACAAGACCATATGCAGCACTGCAACTTCTTTACTTACAATAATGATATAAAATTCTTTCAATCATATATTTTCTTATTAATATTATATGTTCGCTGAACTTCGAGCCATGCACCAAGGTTTACATCATGCTTGAGAGTTGGGATTTAGAATATCATTCTTAAAGTTGACTGGCTGGAACAGGAAGCCTTACATATGGTTAGGGAGGCTAATCCTTTGTTGAATGGTCTGATCCTCCTTGGCGAGTTCTGCAGGCATTACATGGTGATGCTGTACGCTGCCGGTGTTTGTTTCTTGAGAAGCTAGTCTTGCATCTTGTCCTATTGTACCAAAAAAGCGAAAAAGTTTAAATCATTACATGGACCAGGAAAGATCCATAATTGAAGATTCGAAGCTGAAATTTTGTTTGTGTAGAGAGATTTGAAGCTCAACCATATTATGTGTCTTCAGCCGACAATGTATGTGGGTCCAACCGGCAAAATACAGACAATATCTAGCAAAACCTTTACAAGGTATCTCGAAGCTAAGGATTTCAAACACTTAACAAGGATTAAGGACAAATAAGTGATTTCATTCTTCAAACCAACCCAAGCCCAAGTTCACCCCAATAAATCACAGAATGAGCTCTTTAAAAGAACAATAATGGAATTCTTGAAGTTTTGTGTGGGTTGTGAACATTCAGAAAATGTTTTCAAGGTGTTCAAATGATTGAAGCTGCTGTAATCAGAATTTATTGAGCACTACTAAAGGCATGATGCAATAATAATTAATCTCAGAGAGTAGAAGTGCTTTGTAAGACTACTTAACTAAGATGATTGGTTGACTGCAACTAGTTTGGAATCAAGACTCAGTTGAGTTCAGTAGCTTATAAAAACGGTTAATAAGGTAGGGGGCAGACTATAAAGGCTAGCGCTAAAGTAACGGGGTTAGAAACTAAGCTCTCAGAAGATGGAAATTGGCTCTGGTGTTACAGGCTTGGTTGGGTTTTTTCCCTCCGGCCTGTTGTCTTCGCTGAAGAAGATGAACAGTGCCAGATGATGATGAGGTACAGAGCAGGCGTGCCGTGGAGAGAAAGGGCAGACTCGAACGACTGGTCGTTCGGAGTGGTTACAAGTTGGTCCTATCATTCGTGTCTTTTGTCAATTTAGGTTCTTGTAGGTTTTAATGTTTTTAATTTAGGCGTGTTATTATAGCTCCTGGTACTTTTAATTGTTTCAATTTTAGTTTTAAGATTTTGAATTATTTCAATTATGTCTCTAATTGCATTTCAATTGCAGCCTTGAACTAAAATACAATAAAACTAAATAAAAGGATAGAAGGATGCCAACCACAGAGGTTCGAGACTACTTTAATGGAAATATAGAAAAAAAAAGAGAGAGTAAATTTTATTATTTTAAATACTGATATTCACTAGTAATATTAATTAGGAAACTTTATTATGTTAAATATGTCCAACACTACCTTGTTTTTTTTTTTTCCTCCGGTAATAGTTGATGCACCCAATAACCGTAACCAAAAAAAAAAGAAAACGATAAGAACTCCAATCCAATTTACAGCTTACGTAATAATAATACATCAAAGCATTCGAATATTTTCCTATGAGTGATACAACTGCAGTGAGGATGAGTACATCCAGGGACCAAGTCATCATAAGGCTTACCACAAGAATGGCATGCAGGATAATCCTCCGTCCTGTCAACCAAAGCGAGAGGGTGAGGATGAAACTCATATTTGTCTAGCTTGATATATTGGTTTTCCCCAAAGAGCGCATTCTGGATGAGCATCGAAATCGCATTTTTCACAACGGTAGAACCAGAGCTTTGGGTCTCTTTCTTTTTCGCAAATTTGACAGACATATTGGTAGTCATTTGGATCAATGCAGGTGAGGATGAAAGAGCCCTGTATCTTTCAATTTTAGTTTTACGATTTTGAATTATTTTAATTATGTCCCTAATTGCTTTCAATTGCATTTCAATTTCATTCAATTGCACCCTTGATCTAAAATCAAAATAAAACAAAATAAAACGATAACATAAAATAAAAATGGGATAAAAAAAAGAAGAAGACAAGTTAAATGATGAAAATAAATAAATAAAAATGAAATATCGATTTTTTTTTTTCCATTTCCTTACCAAATAAAATGTAAATTCTAAAATTAAATATTACAAAAGACTCTAAAAGATGTTAGGGTGAAGTTGTTCATGCACTTGTTCACCCCTACACAAAACATTGTGAACGGTCCTATTCATACAAAAGTGTTTTTCTTTAATTTTGCACCTTTCTTTGCTTTTCTAATTACATGCTATCACTCCTACTTTTACTCTCTGCCTCCTTAACCTTCTTTTCTAATCTTCTCCTCCTTCTCTAGTCGCCAACAACCAAATCCTGTAATAAAATCCCACACCATTAAACGGTGGGGAACCAAAATAATCACAATAAGAAGCAACGAGTGGAAAACACAAGGAAAGATGATTAGTTTGATCAAAAAACTAAACAAAAAAGGGCAATAGGAAACAAAAAAAGGAGGGAATCTGCTCTAAAAATTAAAATCAAATAAAAAAAAGAAAGAGGGAGGAATTTTTACCTAATTGTTGAAGCGACAACACCTCTCCATCATCATCATCAACTCGAATTTCCCCCTCCACACTCACACACACATATATTTGTATTTGTTTAACTCGAATAGAGGGTTTTAATTTGGAAATTAAATTGGAATTTTTGAGAATTTAAGGATCTTGACGAGTTAGGGTTTTGGAATTTGAAGATTTTTGTTGTGGATCGAAATTGAGGTTGAATAATAGAAAGGAAGGCTAATGGAACTAAATTGGAGTTTCAATTCGGTGTTTAAACCATGAATTGAACTCGAATTAGACTAGATTGAAACTTAGAGTTTTTGATATCTCCAACGAGTAATAAAAATTAAGGGTTTTTGAAAATAATGACTCATTTAGGTTTGAATTGGCTTAATCTCAAGAGAAATCACGCCAATTAAGGCCATTTGAAAGGAAAATTTGAAAAATCAAAAACTTAGGGTTTCCTCCAAATTGGAAAAAATTTTCAATTTGGGATTTTGATCTAATTGGAAGAGGGAGATTAATAGGATGAGAGGGAAAGAAGGATTGAGAGAGAAATGAGGAAAAAACGAGCCGAAATCTCCGGTTCGTTTCTTCCATGGATTGGCGAAGAAGAGAAAAAGAAAGAGATGAGACCGAGAAAAAGGAATAAGAAGAAGAAAGACAAAAAAAAAAAAAAAGGAGAATAAGAGAAAGAGGGACGAACCATTATTGGTTCGTCCATGGAAGGTAAAGAGAGAGGAAGAAGAAGGAAGAAAAAGTAAGAGAGAGAAGGATAACAATCGGATGAGGAAGAAGAAAAAAGAGAAAAAGAATTGAGTTTGATCGAAAAGAAAAGAAAGAGTTTTGTTTGTGTTTTGGGTTGGGCTAAGCTCAACTCGTGTGCGACTAGGTTAGGTCGATTCTAGTTTAGTCCGAAAAAGGAGAAGAAAAGAGTTGGGTTGGATCGATTCCATACAAATTAAGGATTATTTTCTTTGACTTATTTAGTAGATAAGTAAGAGAAAATAATCCGTAATTTGTACGGTGTAATTAAATTTTTTCAATCTTAGGAGTTCTTAATATATTTTAGAAAAACAAAATTACAAAGAACCTTAAAAGAAAGAGGTGGGGTTTTTATTATTTTTAGACTATTCCCACACTCACAATATTTTTGTTATTTTAAGTTTTTTTATGCATTTATTCTCGCCTACATTACTATTTACCCTCAACTACTAATTTTGAGGTTTTTTCCGAACATTTTATATATAAAATTTTGCTATGTTGTTTTTTGATCCCTCATTTTTTTAATATTTTTTATTTCAATTTGCAACTTTATTTGTATTGTAATCTGGTTACTAATTACGGAGAGGAGAGAGAAACGAAGAGAGAAATCTATATATGAATTTTTTAATAATTTTTTAGAATATTTTTATTTACTCTTTTAAAAAAATTAATATAATTTATGTCGTTACCCGACGTCGGACGGGACTCCCAAAAAGAGTATCTCTATTTACAAAGTTTGATTATATGTTCGGAGTCGCCACCTAGCATTAAGGAACTAGGAACCTATAAATTACAATGGTCCAGAAATTCTATGGTAAGGAGTTGATTATACTTTTGGAAAAATATTTATTCACCTAAAAGTGCCCTTTTCGAAGAAAGATATCATGTCTAGTTTAGTCTCAAATTTATCTCCTAAAATGTTTCACTTATGTCAATTTTTTTTTATTTGAAACTCTGATTTTTAAAGCAAAATAATAATAATAATAAAAGATAATAATAAAAAAATAAAAAAACTAGTTTTGAGCATGACATCATATTGAAGCGATCGTCGGTCTCCTTCATCGGGCGACACATCGGTTCAAACATCGGATCCACTTTAAGCCTTGACACAACCGTTGTGTCGGAGCATATCCTGATTAAACAATAAAATTTTTTTGTGTGACGACAGTACCTATCGGATAGGAGACTTCGTCCGGAATTAATTATTTATGTATTTTTTTGTCAAACGTCAATCCCTATCAGATATGAGATTTCGTTAATCTAATGACATATAAAAAAATAATGAAAAATAAATAAAACGTCAATTCTATATTAATACAAGAAGATACGAAAAAAATTTTAAAAAAAAATTAGGCTAAAAGAGAAAAAGAGAAAAATATCTATATAATTGAAATATTAAAAGAAATAATTTTGGGTCCCACATCATTACCCAAAACTTATTATCTCCTGCCTATTCTTTTCTAGTTCCATTTTTTTAGTTTATCACTTTTTATTTCTTCACCTCTTTATTTATATTTTTCTTTGTGAAAGCCGAATTAGCTTCAGCTTTCATTTATAATTTGGAGGAAAGGAAAAAGGCTAAACAGAAACCCGTGCAGCCTCCTTCCTCCCTATTCCTATCACCAGGCTTGGGCTGAGTTGAAATCAGCCCAACCATTTAGCTCGCGTGGGTTGGGTTAAGTCCAACCCACACGATTCCCCTTTTTTTGTTAAAACAAAACTAAACCCACAGATGTACCTTAGACCCAAAACAACTTACTTTTTCATTTTATCATATCAGAAACGGGGATTTTAAGCTCTTGACCCCCTCTCCCTTGTTCCTCGCCTCTGCCTTCCTTGGCACTAGCGTCCCAATCCCCATTTTTTTTTTGAATTCACACTCTACTAAAATAACTTACGAATCAAAAAGTGGAATGATTT